ATTACAATGGACGTGCTCGTGGGCAGAGTCACCTTCCACAGGCAGGTGTCCCAAGACAGTGGCATTCATGCCATCATGAGAGGGACACAAGGCTGTTCTGCAGCTGCTGTCCCTCTACTTCAATCAGGCACCTACAAGACACATGTATGAGCTTCCACAGTAAATAATGGACTGGCTTGGAATAAAGGAAGTAGCAGCAGGTGCTGAAGAAAAGCAGATCAGCAGGCACTTGAGGCCGACATTCAGGGGTGGAGGGAAGCACTTTGGTATCTGCTGAGGACATAGCCAACTTCACGAGCTCAGGCTTTCCTGCTACAAGATCCTGCGTTGCTCCTGCTGGAAGCCATTTCCTACCAATGCATGGCCTTCCATTGTTCCTGGCTCAAGGCTGGTGAACCTGTGGGCAGCAAGTCTGTCCTATGTGAGTGTGACAGCAGAAAAGAGCAGGACATGGCTGCTTCCAGCAGCACTTGTGCTGGGCACTCCTTCAGGGGGCTGGCACCATCATCAGAGACACAGAACAGCTTCTCCTCCCAGAGTTATCCCTATCCTCTGCATTTCCCCACGTGTCTGCCTTGATGTTCATCGGGGACCTCCCTGTTTATGGCCTCCATTGCCGTGCTCAGCCAGCAGCCAGTTGTGTTTGCACGTCAGCTGCCACAGGAAGACACACAGCAAGTGGAGGGTTGAATAGCAGAAGCTGGGCCAGTTCTTTTTCTTTCAGAGTGCAAGAAAGACAGAAAAGCACAAGGAAACCTGACAGTGTTTTGGTGGAGTCTCTTTGTCCTGTGAAATTCAGAAGCTGTTGGTGTTTCTGTGCTACTGCTGAGCCCTTCCATGGGGCTTGGAGTGCTCAAATGCCTCATGAAAGCAACAAAAAGAACCCAACCACCACATTCCCCTCATGCCTGGGCTGAGGGTCCAGCAGCTCAAGTAGAAGAGTCCTCCAGGAGCTCAGGGGAGCAGCAGCCCTTGTGCTGATGCACAGCCTGTGGAGAAGAGGGTCAGTGGCCCAAATGTGTGCTTTGGAAATCAGAGCTGGTTCCTAAATCCCATTGGATGTCTCTCTAATGGACCTGTGGTGGCTGAGGGATGGTCATGGAAAGGGTTTGCCAGACTTGAACTGAACTTGTTGATCTTCTGAGCTCTGTTGTGTCTGGGAGCCTGTTCCTTTCCCCTTGCCCAAGGGCAGAGTGTTGCTGAGGGCTGGAGTTGGAGGCTGTGTGTGCCCCAAGAGCTGGTACCGTGGGGCTGCAGGTGCTCCTGGCAGCGTGGGCTTGTCTGAGCCGGGCCTTGTGCCTCTTTCAGGTGTCCCTGCTGCAGTCACAGCTGGCCCGAGACCGACAGCACCAGCAGAACTACACTGAGAGCTGTGCAAGGACCAGGCTGGAGCTGTGACACCTTCACCAGGAGCTGTCCTGCTCCTTTGCAGCTGTGCTGAAGGAGCCCAAAGCTGCTCTTGTGAAGCAGAGACTTGAAGCTGCATCGGTCTCTGAACCTTAACTTGGCAGTGACATCCTTGGGCCATCTGTCTCTGGAGAGACAGGTCTTACAGAAGGCAGGTGCAGCTCTTCTCTTCCACGCAGGATTTGTGCCCTGCTCAGAAGCCAATTCCTGTCAACTGGGGCACAAAAATCCTCCCTAGTACACAGATGAATACTGTGGAAGATGAGGGCAAAAAATACCTGCCAAAGCTTCTGCAAGCAGACCCATTTGGTTCTTGAAGATCTGTTCCTCGTGAGGAATCTGTGATGTAAACAGCAAGGCTTTTCTTCTGCCTACAAGACCTAGTGATATATTGCCAAACAGAGAGTAGAGATAAAAAATGCACTTGTGGTTGTCTCTGTGTTCATATCTATTTTAAGAGAATTAAACACTGCAACTCTTGGTATATCTATGTAGAAATTTGACAAGCCCTGAAACACCATTTTTCCTCCACATCTGGCTGTTCTAAAGGCAAAGCTTGACTTCCCATGAATATTTGTGCCACTGACAAACAGCATCCCTGTCAATTGGTTCGGGAAGCTACAGAGAATTGTGTGCGCATGTGCCAACAATTTGATCAAATGGAGGAGAGTACCCAGAGGATCAGAGGCCAATACCAGCTCATAGACACTCTGCTAGAAGAAATCAGAAGGTGAGCGATTCCTGCTCTTCCTCCTCCTCCCCCTCCTGTGTTCCAGAGGCAATCTGCTTCCAGGTCTGGGAGGTCTGAGGTGTCCTAGGTGAAGAAATCTATACACCTGCCTATCATGTGTATGCCTCAGTGTGGCCCTTGAGCCTCATCGTTTCTGGGTTTTTCATGCTCTACTGTGACTCCCTAGGTTGTCTGGGAGATGCAGAGCCATGCTGAAATAGAAGACTCCTTCTTCTTGCTGTCTTGCTTCCCTGAATTCAATTCTTTCTGCGCCCCTGCCCAGCCCTTGCTTCTCACTGAAGGAAGGCAAATTCCTGCCTTCCTTTCCTTTTGCCTCTGGAGGATTTCCTTGGGAGGGAAAGA